TATAGAAACTAACTGAATACATTATTTAAATGAATAAATATTTAAAGTAAACAAAACTATGAAAGCACCAAATTAAAAATAAAAAGGAGTAATATTAACTCAGCATTTATCCTGTCAAATACTACCTCACAGTAGCCTGTGTGATGCGTACAAATGGTCAATGTGAGACCAGAGAGGTTGAGTAATTCAGCCAAGATCACACAGCAAGTGTGATGTCAACTCCAAAGCACATGTACTTAATCACCATACCACATAGCTGTCCAATCCCAAGGTAAAACATAGGCAAACTTTTCTGTACTTAAGATTTATGATTGGTGAGGCATGGCAGCATATATCTGTAATCCCTGAACTTGAGAAGCTGAGGCAGGAGGATTGTTACGAGTGCAAAGCCTGCCTGGACTACATAGTGAGTTTGAGGCCAGCCTAAACTGCCTAGTGAAACCCTGTTTCAAAAATACCAGAAAGAAAGAAAGAAAAAAAGAAACAAGAAAGAAAGAAAGAAAGAAAGAAAGAAAGAAAGAAAGAAAGAAAGAAAGAAAGAAAGAAAATATTTATGGTTTGAATATGTTTGTGTCCCCTAAGCCTTTATGTATTCAAATCTAATCCCCATTATGAGCTGTTAAGAGGGTGAAAATTTAATCTAATTACAAAGTTTAGAGGTAGGACCTTTGGGTATTAAGATTAAGGTCACTAGCGTGGTCCTCTTACAGCTGGATACTAGAGACTTTGTAAGAGAGACCCTTGAGACACACGTGCACAACACACTCCCTCTCTCTGGCCAAGCAGGTGCTGTTGCGCCTTGGGACTCAACCAGCAAGAAAGCCATCACCAGATTCAGCCCTTCCACCTTGTACCTCAGAACAATGAAGAAGCTGTAATGAAAGCCTTGAAGAAATTGTTGCTACAAGTGTTTTTGACAAGTGACGCTACCAGCTAGCTATGACCCATTGTTTAAGAAGGTAAGAATTTAAAGATTATTCACCAACCAATTACTGTAACATTAAAATAAGTCTACATTTATTCTATCTCTTGAGTGGATGAAGCCAAGTTTCCATTAACAGCAGTTTTACTAATTTGAAGACAACAATATGCAATATAACAACCATTGGTGAATTCCTACCACCCTGTCTAGTGAAGCTCTGTATTATTTCTAATGTTTTCTTTTATTAATTTTTTATTCTCTTTAACGGTTTGATCAATCTTGCATTCTTACATCTGGTAATCTGGTCAACTTTGTTGAAGACAACAAGATGTAATATAACAATCACTGTTAATTCCTATCATTTTGTTTTGAAGCCCTGTATACTTTTTATTGTTTTTGCTTTGTTTTGCTTTTGTCTAGCTGACTGTAACTTCAAAACTAGGTATGTTTATGTTCTCCTTTAAATTGTGTTTGCAGATGAAATTTGATTGCTCATCAAACTTGAGACACTAAACCACTATGACCTCATGTGCCTTGTAATAATAAACAAATCCATATGAAATCTGTGCAGCTTTGCACGGAGTTAAGAATGTATCTTTATTTTGGCTTTCACAGCCCATATCTCAGGCAACCCCCTCAGTTTATATAAATAAAATACATAATCTTTAAACACTGTTTATGCAAGATTCATTATTTAAAACACAATTTAAAATGCTTATCTTTTCCAGTTGGCTAAGTAAATTATGGCACATCAAAACAATGGAATAATGACCAGAACAAACTGTTCCCACCCCACATCTGAATGTGAAGGGTTTACATCACTCACAAACCCTAGAACTGAGTCTCAGACCTGATTGGTTTGAACAGGACCTAAGAACGTGCATTTCTACGCAGTTCTCTCATAGGCTGGGATAGCTGGCCCGAGGACCACATTTAGAGAACCACTGCTTTCAAGGCCTGAAGTAGCTCTCTGTGCTGATTAGAAAGATTCTCCACAGCATAGTAAATTGAAAAGAGACTGAAAGGTATGTCTTACTTGATTATGTTCACAAGCTTACTGGTGCACAAAAAATGGCTATAAGGATCTACGTACTACGTTGGGGTCGATTTCTTCTGGGCAGTGGGCAGGAGCTCATCTGTATTGAAGCCACCTTTATACCACATGTATGTGTTAGTTTTTTAAATGAGTCTGGCACTGGCCAGTCATACCCGTGGGGTGCTCCCTTGGTGACACTGGGACCAAGAACGTGCCATGACTTTGCAGCAGTCCCGTGGTGCTGTGCAGCGTGTGATGAAAGCAGGTGGGAGCATGCACAAGCTGCGTCCCTCTCCTGCCATAGCGAGGACTTCACTGGGGAGTCCACCCAGGGACACAGGCTGAAACGAGCCCAAGAGGAGGGGCTGGAGACTCCACGGGGTCTCGGTGGGGCAGGAATCTGCATGTTTCCATGTTACAGAAGGAAAAGAAGCGCCTGCTGGCCTCACAGTGGGGAAGGTAGGGGGCAACCGTGCTGCAGCTATGGGACGTTACAGGGGCGTGGTAGGCAGGCCTAGTGTGGACAGGAAGGTGGGCGGCGGAGGTGGAAGGGGTTGATGGCCCCTCAGCTCACACCCACGCTCTAGCAAAGAGAGGGCATGAGCCTGAGAGGCAGCTGTAGAATGGACAGGGGTACTTGGTACTAGCAAAGGTACAGCACCCAGCTACCTGAGTGGGACTCTGGAGAAGTGAAACCTCCAGCCCCCCAGCTGAGAATGCTCTGGCCACATACACTGCTGTGGCAGTGAAAGGGCTGCTGAGGAGTCTGCCAGGCTCAGGAGGCCAGGTCCTGTGGGCTGTGACTTTCCTTTAAAAACAGCCCTTGTAAGACAAAGTTCCAAAACACAGATTAGAGGAGGTGTGTGCCAGAGAGAAGCGGGAGAGGACACCAGCAGGTCCGGAAAGCTGAGGCATGCAGTGAGTACTCTTACTGCCAACAGGCAGCTGTCAGCCAACACTGGCCTTGGGGAAACCCGTGTGGAAGCATCTCTCAGTTCAGAAAGCTTAGAAATGACTGGAGTGTGCGAGAGGAAGGCCACCCACGCAAATAGGAATGATAGGCTAAACATCTCTGCAAGCCCCAGAGTGGGTCACAAGCAGACTTCTCCAGGGGGTCCTGGAGGATGCTGTTGACACCACATGAGAGCACCATGACTCTGGGGAGCAGTGACACAGCCCAGGGACCTTCTGCCAGGACCGCTTCTCATTCAGACAGGGAGCTGCATCTGCAAGACCCAGCGGGACTGGGACCGGTGCGAGGGGATGGAGGACACGTCTGGTCTGAGAAGATGGCGAGTATCATGTGCCGGGGCTGCTGTAATAATGTACCACACACTGGGTGGCTCAGACAACAGAATGTTGCTGTCTCGCAGTTCTGGAGGCTCAAGATCCAGGTGCCTGTGGGGTTGATTTCTTCTCAGGACTGTGAGGCCAAAGCTGTTCTGTGCCTGTCTCCTAGCTTCTGACGGTTGCTGTCAGCCTTTGGGGTTTCGGCTCATAGATATCTTACCCTAACATCTGCCTGGATATTTCCATGCTATTCTCCATGTGTCTATTCTTTGGCTTGAATGTTGCCCCCACCCCCAAGTTCATATTTCAGAAACATGGTCTCCAGTGTGGTGATGGGAGGTGATATGGAGCCTCTAAGACACAGGGCCAAACTTAGGATGCTGGGACATTGCCCTTAGAAGGGATGAAGGCTCTCATGAGAGCAAGTTGTTCTAAAGGCCTGAGCCTGACCTGAGTTTCCCTCTGGTTTCCTGTTTTGTGATGTGATCTTTCTTCCCATATGCACCCCTGCCTCTGCCGTGGGCCTTTGCCAGAGATAACATGGTATGTTGTTTGGACTTTCTACTTCCAAAGCTGAGCTAAACAAACCTTTTTAATTTACAGCATTATCCTACCTCTGATATTTCATTACAGCAACAAAACAACAACAAAATCCTCATAAGCCTGTCTTCAATTTTCCCTTCTGGAAGGACATCAGTCACATAGCCCAGTATGACCCCATTTTAACATCAGCAAAGACCTGTTTGTGTTCTGATGTACAGGAAATTATGAGGAAACTCAATTAAAACAATGACAGAGGCCCTGGCGATCCGACTTTACCTTTCAATGAGGCAAACATGGTGCTGAGGCTTTCATTTGGCTAGGGGAATCACTGCAAAATCACCAGGCAACCCATCCCTCAGGCTCCAAGCAGAAGAACATCGGGGGGACTAGAATATCCCAGCGAATTCCATTTGTAAGCATGTGAGCAACATGGAAATGGGGTTAAGTCACTGGGTTCCGCTAAGGCTAAATGCATTGCTTCACCCCTGCACCCCCACCTTACCCATAGGCACACCTGGCAATGGCACCCACCCCTAAAAGTTTGTCCCCATCAGTTCAGAACCAGTACCTTAAGAAAAAAAATGGGAAGTCACCTGGAGAACCTCCTGCGGATTCTCAGCCTTCCTTGCCCCATATGGCCCCGACTCCATCCTGCCCTGTATGCCTCTGGATGACCCCTCAACCCACGCATTTCCACCTCCGACCCACTGCAGTTTATTGTAAATGCAGTGGCCTGGTGATTCTTCTGAACACAATATAAATTATGTGAGGATAGGGATGGGATTAAGCTACTCACACTGAGGCTAAAACACACACAGCCCTCTCCATGTCCTGGCAGCCTAGAAACAGAATGGCGGGCATGGATGAAGCTGCTCTGAAGGCTTTCATTCCCAGCTACAGTTAGTACCAATGCCCCACAGGAAACGGCCCAAGTTTCCATTCTTGCCGCATCTCCTCTGCTTTTCCCCAGCTCATTCTAATCAGCCGCTCTGGCCTCCTCGCTGATCCTCGAGCCCACCAGGACAATTCCCATGGCAGAAAATGCCTTGATGCCGGTGAGCTCACTCTGCTGTCCTAAGGGCCTTGCTTAGATGTCACCTTCTCAGCCGGGCTTCTTCTGATGGCCCTCTTCTACCCCTACCCCCTGCTACATTCTCCCTAAGCACTTACCATCATTTAACATAGCATAAAATTCCCTATTCTGCTTATTACTGGTACCCCTGGAATGTGAGCTACACAAGGGTGGAGATTTTTCTGTCTTGTCTTTTGATGTGCCCTGAGGGCCTAGGACGTTGCTTGTCATAGAGTACAAATTCCGAGTAGGACTGGTAGACACATGAGTATGGAACTAGTCACATTCCCAGGCACCATACCAAAAGAGTGGCCTAGAATTGTGCCAGGAGTGCAGAACCTATGTTGTTAAAAAGCTTCTGCTGTGATTCTAAGGCTCACTGAAGTTTGGGAACCAGTGTGAGTCTAAGGAGTGATGAAGTTACACAGTTGCAGCTCCAGGTCTCTGCAAAGTACAAAGAGAGAGCTGGGACCAGGTGGGATCCTCTCCAGGAGCACCTGCTGGTCAACCCCATCTCTGGTGCTTAGATTTCTCCTGGCTCAAGTACAAATGAGCATGGCCCACTTGTCTAAGCTCCTAGACCAGTGATGGAGAGCCTTTTAGAGCTTTCAACGGTAGCAAACAGCCAATGTATCACACTTGCCATAGTTCATCACTGTCTTAGACCATGGCTCTTGCCCCTGAACTCTGAGGAAGGCAAGGTTGCCGGAGAGTAAGGAGACTAAGTGCATTGACGAGGTGCTAGGAGGACAAAGGATTAAATCAACATCTCAGTCAGCTCTGGCCATGGAATCTGGAACACTGAATCGACTTTAGTAGGAAAACCTCTTGCTGTTATATTCATAAACAGAAAACTAGGAAGGTCCACAATTGTCAAGGCAAAGGCCAAGAGGCCTGGGTGGTAGGAGAAGTCTCAGGTAAAGGCAGGTGGAACGGAGAGGAAGTGCTCTGCGGCAGCTCCAGGCTGTATTACACCCTTCCTGACCCTCTGGAAGGAGGAGACAGAAAGTCGGAATGTCATGAGATGGGTGCCGGGAGCTCTGGAAGGGCCAGGAAGGCAACTGCGTTTCCCTGGCTCTGTGAGTGAGGCTCAGATGCAAGGGAAGAAAGGCCACAAGTCCAACTCTACACACTACAGTGACCTCAGCATGAAAGGTACAAGAGCTCATTTTTTGAAAGTTTTTTGCCTTTCACTAGGTGATATGTAAGGAGGGGAGGGAGAAACCCAGAAGGATGAACCATGTGAAAGACGGGAAAGTAGGAAACCTGGCCCAGTGCCACTTATCCTGGTTCTTGAGCGCTGTTGAGCCAGCTGCTCCAGGATTCTAGGAACACCAGTTAGGTGGTTTGCAGGGACTACGGGAAGCTGTCTTCGTTAGGATGCCTGACAAAGAAGACCTGGTGTAAACACACCGAGACCACCAGCACTGAGCTCTCACTGGGAAGCCCCATTCACCTTCCACTACATGCTCACTTTGTCACTGAGGATTTAGAAATAACACCTTCAGATTTCATTGCTTTAATGAAAGCTTTTTCTTCCAGTCATATTTCAGAAAATGAAAATAAAGCTTGATTTCTCAGCCACACATCTTTGCCTGGCTAAGGAAGTCTCTCTCATTTTGGATATACCTCCTGAGGTAGATTTTGTGAACAATGATAATTACCATTACATTATTTTCCAAATGCAACCATTTCCATAAATTCATATTTCAGTGGGGGTGTTGTTTAGTGTACAAAAGAAAATTGAATGTTTTAAATTGAAGACTCATAAAAACTACTTCAAAACAGTTTAAAGGCCAGGGACACCATAATGCTGCAGACAGGTAGAAAACAATGAATTGTAATAGAAAAAAGCCTCTAAAATATTCCTAGAACACTGTATTTCCTATCCTGTACTCATTTGATAGTAAACAGTGCACAAAGATATCTTTGTACCTTCTGACAGAGTTTTAAAAACATGTTGCTTGAGACCTTTGCGGCTATATGAAATGCACAAATGCATTAAAAACGTTCATATCAAACCTAAAGTGGAGGCCATTTTCAACAGTACAATGAAAAGGTTGAGATAAAGGAGAAATTTGCAATATTCAATATAATTTTATTGTATAGATTTCAGAATTCAATTCAAAATTGTACTTCTAAAAATTAACTTACTTACTCAGTATTAATTTTAGATCATGTACTAAGTGAAATTATTTGATTTCACTTAAGCCAAGTGAGGCAGGTACCAAATTCAATGTGAATTATGCTCTTAAAAGCATCCAAGGAGTTAAACAGTTCTTTGAAGAAAACCAGTGATTACATTTATCAAATATCTTTTACTGATGCTAAGCAAGTCAGAGTTTTGATTTTAATACTATCTTCTCTACCATAAAAAATAAAGTTAAAAGGTCTTCAAATGAAAAATCTCATGATCAGTTCTTTCATGTCTTGAATTAGATTTTAAAATCAGTTTCTTTTTTTTAAACAATAGATGTGGTAATCTCATTACTAAAAGATAGATTTATAATGCTAAAAGAATATTATAGACATCTGCTTTCTGCATGATGTATGACTTGGAAATTTTAAGCCAAAAAGCAAATTTAGCTACTTACAAACTTGCAATTATAGCTTATAAACATAGTACAAGATGTGCTATTGGTGGATTGTTGATATATGAGGAGCTAGTAAAACCTTAAATTGCTTTCTAAATTCTAACATGAGTCTTCTTTAGACGTTGGAGTGTATTTGTAGCAGTAATTTATCAGAAATTTCCAAGTACTTTTGTAACTTTCAGGATATAGTTAACTTGGCCAGTGGAGAATGTAATCAGTAGGAAATATAGCTTCTCAAAATTAAATTTTATTTATAAACTAAAGTTTATGCTATATCTAAATATTACAATATCACAAGGAAGATTGTCAAATATTGCAATCATCTCTACAGCAAATGAGACAACTGGAAAAAGTAGACACTGAAATTGCTAAATGATAGTTATGTTTGAAATCTAGTATGCTCCTCAAAAAGCTCATTCTTTTGAAAGATTGGTTGATGATTGGCTTTGTGGAAGTGACCAGATCGTGAAAACTCTAATGTGGTCAGTGGATCAGTCCACTGATGAGATCGTGATTTAATGATATTTTTGGGAGGTGATAGAAACAGGAGGTGGGAGCTATTGAAGAGAGTGGGTTCCGGGGCATGAACTTGGGGAGTATATCTGGGCCCTTTCTCCTTCCTCTCTGGCTCTTTCCCTTTCTTTCTGCTTTCTAGATGCCATGAGGTGGAGACAGTATCCTCCATCACACCTTTCCACCACGTTACTACCTTACCACAGGCCTAAAAGCAATGGACTCACTGACCATGGACTGAAACTCCTGAAACCGTGAGTCAAATAAACCTTTCTTCCTTTTAAGTGGTTTGTATCTGGTATTTTGTCACAACCTAAAGTGTAACGATGCTGATTCTGTGAAGACAGGAAAAGAAACTATTTTGCAACAAAGAATCATATTCCGGTGGTATTGAATTCTTCATTCTATTGAAAAATTCAAGTTTTTATTATCATCATCAAGAATTTGATTTGCGGGGTTGGGGATTTAGCTCAGTGGCAAAGCACCTGCCTGGCAAGCGCAAGGTCGTGAGTTCGATTTCTGGTACCAGAAGAAAAGACAAAAAAAAAAAAGAATTTGATTTGCATAATCTATACAAAACCAGTATAAACTTTGTTTTGCATAGGAAGTATTTGTATATTGTTGAAAATTGTTATTACTAAAAATTTAAAATGTGCTAGTGTTTATGAATGTGATTTTACTTAAGTAAAGGCACCTTTTTCTAACCCAGAGAAGGCCACAGCACAGGATACCAGTGTTTCTAAAAACCAGCACATAGAAACAGGACCTGGACAGCCAAACAGGACTGTATATATATATATATATATATATATATATATATATATATATTTTGAACAGGACTATATTTTGATACCACATAGGAGAATAATATTTTGCCTTTTATCTCCACTCCACCCACATCTCTCACCCCTACTCTAAGGCAAGACTGGGATCAGGAGCCGGTTCTGATCAATAGGTCCACACGGGGGCAGTAAACTTGTGTATTAAACAGGACCCAGCTTTACCCACAGAGGGCGCAGTGACGTTCATTCCAACGTGTGTCATTGTGCTTTCTATCACTAGGTGGCAGCACTTGCATAGCAATCTATGCACAAATCTCGTATAAATAAAAACTAATCGCAAAAGCAAGATTAGAAAGCCACAAGAACTGTGTTTATTCTACAAACTGGATGATAACATAAACCTGACAAATAATCAGAAGGTTTCTCTCTTAAGAATGCATTCCCATGCAAGTCAAGCTACAAGACTAAGTAAATAAGCTGACAGAAAAAGGTGTGAACGTTGGCATCAGCCCTCTCTCCTGACACCCGGGGTGGGATTTCATGCTTCTCCCTCTGGTGATTCAGACTGTTTCTCTGTAGAAAGTTCTGGGCTACATGCAGCCACATTACCCAAGGAGTTTGTTAAAATTGCCAATTCCTCTTTCCCTACCCCATTCTAATAAGTAGCTCTGGGGTTAGGCACAGGCAGTTCTAGGTTTAGCAGGTGTCCCAGGAAATTCTGAGGCACAGCCATGCTTTGCTGCTGGCACCCATATATTAATAAACTGTATCTGGAGATTTTTCCCATGTGGCTCTTTCTAGGTTCTGACCTCATAACAGCTGCAAAAGCAGAAGAGCTACAAGTCTCTAAGGGTGATCCCAGTCACCATTTGGCAACTGGACACTTACAAGAAGGCTGGTCTGAGCTGAAACCTGTATCAGGGTTAAGCAACATCAGATTTCAAAGACTTGGTAGGGGGAAAATATAAAATATTTCATTAGTTTCTTTTTATATTTATTAGATGAAGTACTATTTTAGTATATTATTAAATATATTAATATTGGGTTAAAATATTCTTAAAATCAACTCCACCTATTTTGTTTTTAATACGGCTACTAAAGGAATTAAATAACATGTGGCTTACAAGGTATTTCTATTGGACAGTCCTGCTAACGGATGTAAAGAACTGGCAAGAATGGGGAGGAAAAGTAGAAATCGGACTGGGGACTAAATCCTGAGTGCACGGCCTTCTGACGCAGTTCCTCAAAACCGGGCCTGGTGTCCGGGCCGCTAGGCCTTGGACAGAGACATGCTCAGCCTGCAGCCTGCAGGGTTGGGCAGGGGCTTACAGGCTGATGGGATCCGAGGACTGCAGAGCCCCAGGATCTCTGGGCTCTCCACGCAGCCTGCGTGCTGACACATCTGCTGTTGGTCTCTTACCAGAACTTCCAGGGATGCTTCGCACAGGAAAATGTGTCGATCCTGCAAATTGTTGTTGAGGTGAGGGCCGTCCCCGCAGGACCTACTTAACTGTACAGTTGGCGAAAGCTCTTCTTTAGAACAGAGGAAATGTGACTGCACCAATCACCAAACAAAACTGTACAGCTTGTCTTTTGTTTATGAATTAAAACGAGCAAGTTTGTTGAGTAGCCACATTGCAATACCAGCACTGACCTTCACCTCAGTGGAGTCCCCACACCAGCGTCATCTGGGGAACGGGCTTGAAATGCAAAAATCTCAGGCTCCAAAGAGGGCTGAGGATGTGGGGATGGGGGCCAGTCTCCCGGACTTGACCAACCCTGCGGGTGACTGTGAGATGTACCCTAAAACAATCATGGAACCAGAGGAAGAGGGTGCCCTCTAAAGGGAGGTCCAAGGATGTGGAGAGTTGACGGCTGGTGGCCTGACTCTCTTGAGTCTGCTGTCACTGAGAAAGTATGTGCTCAACTCATTTTAAGAGTAGATTTGAGTCAGGACCACAGGGGTTCTCGGTGAAGCTCCCTCCCTTCTGGGCAGACAGGGCCCATTCCGAAACTCTGAGCCTGTACTGCCGTTGGAAAATTGGGAGAAATAATGCATCCTCTTTGGGCTTGTTATTGGAAGTGAATAACCAAACATACTGCACATGGTTCTCAGTAGGAAGAAAAGGATTGTTATCAGTGACGTGTAAGTAAGACATCAGAATGCTAGGAGAAAGCAACTCCGAGCCTTTCTATGGAGTCATTCTATCCATTATTCTTATCTCTCTGCCCAAGAAGCTCTTGCTTTTTTTCTTAGAAATCACTTTCCAATGACTAGTCAGTGAATTGACAGTTTGATCTAATCTCAGTTTTTGCTATTGACACATTAGAATTTTATCTTCTCAAACTTATGATTCAGATTGGAATTCAGTGAACTTCCTCAAGTGGTTTTTGAGGTTCAAACTTCTCCTCCCCCTCACATCAAGGCCCCAGAGCCTGCTTTGATCAAGTGAGACCAGTTCGCCCTATGTTTACGCGCTAGGACTCTGGTGCTCACTCTTGGGGTTGCTGTCTTTTTCTATGTATTTCCTTAAACGTGCACTACTCTTTTTAGGCCTCATGTTGTGCATTCAGTCTCTAGACTTGTTCTTGCTACGTGCCTGTTAACCTTGTATCCTCTGAGCTACCTCTGTACCCTGCTTCAGTATAACGGATGTTTGTGGCATGACTGTGATATTAGCATATGGAATTCTTGTCCAAAGGCTGGGGTGGTAGTTGTTTCTTTCCTGGGTCTTTAAAGTGTTGCAGGGAAAAGGTGACACATCAGGAAATGCCGTTTTAAAAGAACCTGAGAAGGAGTGAGTTCTCAGCAAGTACCTGCCACAGCCTCTCCCTCCTTATTATATTCCCCCAGTCAGGGAAGCAACTCTGTCTAATAAGCAGCAGAAACACCCAGGATTAGACCAAATTAGGAAACTGAAACCTAAAATCCTCTGCCTCTCCCCACTTGCTGGGCCATCTGTGAGGCAGTGAAGATGTATTTCTTATTAAGGATCTTTCAGTATCCTGGACTTGGGGGTGGATTACCATCACCCTTGTGCTCAGACATTTAGCCTATTGGGATCTTCACTGAATGCTAACCCACGGGCCTGACCTTGACAAGGGGAGAATATACTCCCGATTCACCCCTGGCCACTCTGGCTGAAGTCTGGCGCTGGTGGAGAAGGAAGTGAGCACTGACTCCCTCTGTCTCCTGAGTCCCAGAAGGGCTGGGCTTCAGTGATGGAGGGAGATAGAAAGGCAGGCAACTGCTCTTATGGGCTGGGAGAAACGAGATCCCACTCCCTGGGAAGCCTCAGGCCTTGAAAGACACTGTGTAGCCTAAGAGCCAGGCTGTTCGGCAAGTTCACTGCCTATAGCTGTATCTACCCTTTCCTGGGGCATGGACACTAGCGTGAGACTATTCATCTCCATGGAGAAGGGAATCCAGAGGCTTTTATACATCTGAGTGTGTTCCTCACTGAGCGTTGCCTTCCATAGCTAGAAGCTGCCTTCGAGGCTTAAAGATTCTTCCTAATGTTCACTGTTGGGTGTTGTCTTTGAGTCATATTCTCCTTTCTTTTTTAAAATGATTGTCAAGATACAAGCTCTCAGAAATACTGCCCTGGGGCTTTCTTCTCCAATCGAGTGGAAAACAGGCTACACCATACAAGCTAACTCCAATTAACTGATATTGTCCTACAGCCATCACTTGGAAGCCATCACTTAGCTTGAGCAGAAGAAACATGGTGGTTGATTATAAATATCTACAGAGGGCAAAATATGATGAAGTTGCCACCACTCTCCTAAGCAATAATTCATTTCCCCAGCCACTAATGGGAAGACTCACTTAGGCTATTTCACCTACATCTTACTACAGCAGATAAAAGAATGATAACCACTGTGGCACATAGACTCCCCACTGAACTAGCAGACATTATATCCCCACTACAGTATCGGCCATTTTCCACAGATTATCTGGTTTCTTCACAATACCCTCTCCAAGAGTATATTATAATGTCCCATTTGGAGGAAATTGTTGAGACCCAAGGAAATTAAGCAATGTTTCAAAGGAAAATTGGCTAGGGTTAGGATCTGAAGCCAAGCCAGCCTGACTCAACCAGCTGATGCTGTTACCCCAATGCTATACCATCTATTCCCAGACCTCTCATTGTTAGACTATGTCTTGTTTCTTCAATATGACAAAATAAATATATTATTACCTCACAAAAAGGAGACTCCATGCATGACACATCGGAGTTATGCAGTAAGTGAATCTTAGATGCCTGGATAGACAGGAGCTTTTATCAGCTCCCTTCCTACCCAGACACAACCCCTCGAGAATCCAGGCCCACAGAGTGCTGTCATTTTAGAGAAAACCCCAGACTCTGCTTGCCCAACCAGCTCACCATGGAATGAGGTCTTTGGATGGTTTCCTGTCTCTTGCCAATGCTTACCCAGAAGACTTTGGTTTCCACTAGTCTCAAGTCCATATTTTGATGAGGCCAAATCTGGTTTCTCTGGACTCCATTCCAAACCAGAGAAGGTAGCCAGAATGGGTGAAAGAACATTGAGATGGTTTTGAGAATGGGCAGTGTAAAGTCTCTAGTGGGCACCAATGCTAAGGACGCCAAGGCTGGAGAATGCTTCTTGGAGGTGAAGGTGAAGATGCTGGTGAACACAAGGAAACTTGGTTTTAATTAGAAGTGTGTTCACCAAGGATCCATACATCCTTTTTTTCTATGAAATTCAGAAAATGAAAATAGGGCACCTCTAGTACTACACTATAGTATGACCTATACTTTCAAAAATAATCTTTTGCTTTAAGAATCACAAGGGGGAAACAGAGACCAGGGTTGTTTTGTTAAACAAATTCCAGACTGGCTAGAAACCACATGTACACATGAGGTGAAGAACTGGGCTTATGACTAATTGATGTTGCTAAGAGCTCTTCCATTCATTCTTGACTCACATGGGTCCTTCTCACAGGGTGCACTTATGCAAATTGCTGAAGCAATTTTTTGTCTTCTTGCAAAGAAAAAAGAAGTTGTTCATGAACTCTCTGCCTACACCTATGCCTCCAAGATTTCTGCCTAATTTCTCTGCCAGTAGTGATAGACATGCATCTAGTTTTGATCTTCCACATGTAGAGGGCCAGTTTTTCCAGCAGCATTTATTAGAGGCTATCTTGTGTTAGGCCCCTTTGTCAAAGATAAGGTAGCCACCTTATGTTTGTAGTTGCATCTGCATCTTCTATTCTGTTCCACTGATCCTCAGATCTGGTTTTTCTTGCCACTGCTATGCTACTTTTATCACAGTAGCTTTGCAGCATAATTTCAAATTAGGCATTGTGATGGGTCTTGCTTTGCCTTTATTGCCCAGAATTGTTTTTTGCTATTCTAGGTCTCTTCTGGTTCTAAATGGATTTTAAGAATATTTTCTCTAGTTCTATGAGGTATATTAATGGTTTTGTGATCAGGATTGTCTTAAATCTGTATAACAGTTTTGGGAGTATGGCCATTTTCATAATGTTTGTTCTTTCTATCATGAGTAGGGGATATCTTTCCATTTTCTGATATCCCCTTGGATCTCCTTTTTTGAAGTACTGTAATTTTCAATGTAAAGGTCTTTTACTTCCTTTGTTAGATTAATTACTAAGTATTTTTGGATACTATTATGAAGGGTTCGTTTTCCCTAATTTCTCTCTCAGTGAGTTTGTTGTTTGCATACAGAAATGCCAAAGTGCATGGAAATACTTCAAAGAATCAACAACTGGGACCACATCTTATTAAAAAGCTCTTGCACATCAAAAGAAATCACCAACAGAGTGAAAAGACAACCCACAGATTGGGAAAAATATTTTAGCCAATTGTTCCTCAGACAAAGGACTTCTATCTAGAACATAGAAAGAACTGAAAAAAATAAGATCCCCCAAATTCAATGACCCAATCCAAAAATGGGCATCTGAGATGAACAAACACTTCTCAGATGAAGAAATACAAATGGCAAATAAATACAGGAAAAAGTGTTCAACATTATTGGTCATTTAAGAGATGCAACTTGAAATAACACTGAGATTTCCTCTCACTCCGGAAAGAATGGCTATCACCAAGAAATCAACCAATAACAAATGCTGGAGGGGCTGTGGAGAAAAAAGAATACTTCTCCACTGTTGGTGGGAGTGAGACTGGTGCAACCACTGTGGAAATCAGTATAGAGATCCCTCAAAAAGCTAGGATTGGAGGACCCCTTTCGCCCAGCTATTCCCCTTCTGAGGATCTTCCCAGAAGAATTAAAAACATCATACCACAGGGATATATGTGCATCCATGTTACAGCAGCACAATTTGTAATAGCTAAATCTTGGAAATAATCCAAATGCCCATCAACTGAGGAACAGATAAAAAAAAAAGATGTGGTACTTTTATACAATGGAGTACTTCTCAACCATAAAGAAGGATAAGCATGAGACTTTTATAGGTAAATGGATGCCACTTGAGACCATACTCATTAGTGAAATAAATCAGACTCAAATATACAAACACTGTAGTATCTCCCTGGTGTGAGAAATTGAGAGAGTAAATAAAGTTTAAAATGTACAATAGGTGTGGCAAAATGAGAAGAAATTGCTAAAAAGGAAAAAGAAACTAGGATGGGGGAAAGGGGAAAGGAAGGAAGGAAAAAGGGAGAAAAATGCAAGTTAATTATACTATTAGTGTCACTTAGTTCATAGAAAAGGAAGGTTGCTCTAATATTGACTGGAGAACTTTTTATGCCCATATCTTATACTCTGGGTAACTACTTTGAAGATAGTAATATACGATGTATTAATTATTGTTATTCTCCTATCATCTCATTATGAAATTTTGTTTTACCTTTTTTTCCATTAGAAAGTTATTTCTGTCCCTTAAATTATCTGCCTAAGTCCTGACTCCTGTACTGGAGAAAGGCTTGGACACGACTTTCATTGGATGTGTCATTCCAGTGGATGTCAGACACAGCTGCATGCTCTTCCTCAACCCATGTTCTCCACCTGTCCCAGGACCCCACATTCTCCTATCTGCTTCCAGCAGTGACCGCTTCGTTTTAGTTCCTGTGGTGGCATCCTTCTCGTTTCTTGACATTGAAGGGCCACTGCTCAACCTTTGGTCTTATTTCTTCTTTTTCTTTCTTTCCCTTTGTGATTCCATCTGTCCTTGTGGCTTTCAGTAGCACCCATGTACTAAGGACTGTTATTCTGTTTTATACACCGCCCACTTCCCAAGTCCCAACTGTACCTCTCTGCCGTAATGTCTAACAGCCTCCCCTACCTTACTGGTTCTAAAACAGAAAGTCTTCATAGTTGCCTACCTTGTGCCCAGCAGGCATTTTCTCTCCAATCTCACCTCTTGCTCTTCTGCCCCTCACTAACTCTACGCTAGTTATGCTGGTCTCCTAATATACCAGGAACCTCCTGCCACAGGACCTTGGCACTTGCTAGTCCTACTTCCTTCAGGGCTTAATTTAAATATCTCCTGCTATGTCTTTTTAAATAACACCTATCATCTTCTAACTCACTTTGTAATATACATATTTATTATGCTTTGTTTACTGTTTGTCTCACTTACAAGAATGTAACCAGAAGAGCAAGCATTTTTTTTTTTATTTTGTTCTCTGCATGTGTTGAGTGTATAGGAAAGTTTCTAGGTACATAATAGATAGGTACATAAAAGTTTCTAGGTACATAATAGATACTTTAATAAATAATAGATATTTATTAAACAAATGAATGAACACTACAGGAACACCTTGCATTTGAATCCTAATAAAAGAAATAACCACCTCAGGATTCCTACTAGTATGAGGCTACTAGGATCTTGCTGACCCTTTTCCAAACACAACCAAAATCACCTCTGCCATGTGACCCTGAGTTCAGCTGTTATAGAAACAGCCACATACATCTGAAATGATGCTGAAAGAAGTTGTAAGAATTTCATTTCTGTCTCTTGAATACCCAGTTTATCATACTCTGTCAACATTTCTAACCTAATTGCCAAGAGCCACAAGCCCACTTGGAGGACAAGCTACCTAGCCAGGCATACTTGGTCACTGGTTGCCCTTGGCCCTAATGACCATAGGCTGCCCTCAATTCTCTCATTTTGAAAAACTTTTTTGGTTGTTGCTTTTGCTTCCTACATGATGTTCAGTTTTCAAACTGTGTTTCACTCTTGGATCCATCACAAGTTTCTTAATCCCTTTGTGCCTCAGTGTCCTCATCTGTTGACTGAAGATTATGGTAGAAGTACCCAAAATGTTCGCAGAAAAGCTTGAGTGGGTTAATGGGCGCACAGTGCTTAGAATAGCGAAAGCACTTAGCATAGCCCTCAGTAAATGTTAGCTATCATTATTAATGTTGTTATTATCACTGCTAGCATTAAGCATAGACTCTTTCTTGGCTTTTTAACCCTACCACATCACATAGTGTCTGAGACACCAGGCCTCACAGTGCTTGAATGCTTAAGAAAAATTTACTAAACAGATGAATGAATGAATGAAGAGCTATTTCAGATATATGTTATATATATTATGTTATTATATATTATATATGCATTACATACTAATTAGTCCTGGGGCATGAACCCCAGCACCTCAGATGTGCCAGGTGAGTGTTATCTCCTCAGCCCTATATACTAATACGTTTTCATCTTCTCTTAGCATAATCTAGCACATAGCAATCCTCAGGAACGTTTGTAATGGCAGATGGGAGGTTTCTGTATTTATTCTGAGAGAATCATCTAACTATTAAAAAAGCCACCAGAGACAGCCCTGAAGGAGCTGGGATGGTGCTTACACAGCTCTGGGCGATGGATAGATTAAGTGTGTGGTTTGGGGCAAATCTTTTAACTTTCTTGGGTATCAGGGTTCTCCTCCCAACTGGGGCTAAGTTTAGTCTCGGTATCTTAAGGGGACTAAATCCAACAGTATCTGTAAAATGCACAATTCGGGGCACCTGGTAAGTGCTCATTCAATTATTATGAGCTTTAAGACCATGTGTCAAGTGTGGCTGCAATGGGGACCTGTACCTGAGGCCTGCGGGCTCAGCGGACAAGTGGGTTCCTAGTGGCTTGATGATATAATAGCCACGTGTCCAAATACCCATCTTTCCATGGGTACGACTCTTTGTCTGCGCGTACACACACACACACACACACACACACACACCCATACACACGCACTTCCTTATATGTACCTAAACCAAAGTTTCTCTTTCTTGTTCCCTCTTGCCATGAGCTTGGGACAGTCTAGCTAAGTTCCTGCTTCTATAACCAGAATTTCATTTGTCATGTGTAAAGTATTTCTTCAAAACTTTTCAAACAGGTCCAGACAAGTCGCATCTGTTTAGAAGACTTGAGTGATAATGAAAACTGGGCATTTTCCATGGACTTCCTCTCCCCAACTTCCGCCCCTGGACCCCCTCCAAGTCCACACAAGCAAGCGGAGGCCCGGAAGGAGACTTACAGTGTGACGAATCAAATACTTCATAGCAGATGGCATTCATCTTTATGCTTTCCCAGTATAAACCAAACTTTCTCTTAGTTGGCTTCACCTAAAAAATGTTCAGCAGTTTATAATTCATTACCTCTGACCTTCTGTGAGGTCGGTGTAACAATCCTTTTTATAAATCAAGTACATTAATTTAAATATCATATTTTTTAATGGATTGACTTCTCCAAAAATGTACGATTGATATTTTTATAAAAGACAGCTAACTGAGAGAGACTAATTGAAAGCTTTCTTGTGCTGGGATTAGAGGAGAGGGACCCTGCTTGGGCCTTTGTTGTATTGAATCTGAAGAAGAAAAACTGAGAGAAAGGTGGACGCAGTGGTTTATCGCCCAGCCTTTCAGGGTTAGAAACTGGAAGCTGCGTCACACTGCAGCGTTAAAGTTAGAAGAGCACCAAATCAAGCACCTGGTTTGTTCTCGTATGGATTCCAAAAAGTCGGCTTAGAAGTTCTCAAGCTCAGAAGACAAAAATGGTAAACAAAGGAAACAAAGGTACAACAAGGCAGAGAGGATAGATAATTTCTGCATTTTGCAGAATGTCCTCATTTTTTCATTTTGTCCTAGAAAGGAAAAAGTGATCAGAGGGAAATAATATTACTGTGCGGTGCTCACCCCAGTAATCATTCAATATCTTTGCCTTTTAATTTCTATTTTGATTACAATAAATGAGTTAAAATTTGGGGATTCAGTGATAAATTTGCTTTTAAACATTTGTGACTATGAATCACTTGGAGTAGGAGTTGTTGGAGAGGATGGTAGGAAAATAATGGATTCATTAGGTCAGTCTTACGTCCTGTCAAATCTGAGTATCAAGAAGTCTGCTCAAAAATGTTCATTTATGAATAAATACAATGGTGCAGTTAATCATGTGTAAATATGTATACTATTAGAGAAAGAAACTTTAAGCAAGTAGAAAGACACTTCTGCAATGACCTAGGACTCTGATACTGCCTTTCTGTGAGTAGTTGACATTTTGACATTCACACCAGTTGTTAATTTCCTCAAGCCATTGAACATTTAACTTCCATTTATTACCATGATATCTATGTAACAGATGCCATCATTCCATCCCTCCTTTATTTCCCCCATGCTATTAGTTTTACCTGGTCCCTAACCCAAAGCCAATTCTTGATTCTCATCCTGTTCCTTCTTGACTTCCTTATATCTTTTATCCTGTCCTACTGGGTACCCCAACATTAAAATATTCCCAGTGTCCTACTATCATCCAATAGCCTGACAAAAACTGGTAGAAGTGGGTATATACAGAAAGTCACAGGGAGAAGAAACCAAAAGAGAAATCCATGAGACTTGGCAACACAGGGTAGCAGAGGGACATTTAAAGTGGTTAAAGATGACTCTTTGGTCAGCATGTGATGACAAGAGCAAAGGCATTAGGGAAGCGAGGAGCAAAAGAAGATGTGGGCATAGAAAGAAGAGGCTGAGTTGTGACTGGAGCATGCCTAGGTCAGCAGTAATGTCAAAGTCCTGATTAGCTTCATATCACTCTTGATTGACTCTTGATTCACACTTGATTGGTGATTCAAGAGTGCAGGGTACATGTGTGGTCAGGTTCTGGAGGGCCTGAAAAGCAGAGGAATAAGTACCCAAGAAGGGATAAGTCCCCAAATGAAGGTGATGTCCAAAAGATTGTGGGATCTGGCTTTCATATGTGCCAGGCCACACTCCCTACTTTCCAGCATTAAAGGGACCACACTTCCACTTGTTTATTACTGAATACCTCTTCAGTTTGAAGGTGAAAGGAGGCATTCATCACATGAGCCATGTGTGGCTGAGGCAGTTGTCAGAGCTATAATAAGGAAATGCCCATTATTCCTCTAACTATCACTTGCTGAAATAAAGAACTCTTTAGAATCATTTCCCTGAAAGTTCTTCCCCCTGAGAAAAAAATGGGACTGTGTTTGGGAATCAGAAGGCAAGGTCACGGAGGCTGCTCTTAGCAAAGTCCCAGAGGCTGTGTATTGGTCAGTTTTTTACTGCTATGACAAAACACCTGAGAAAAACAACTTAAAGAAGTGAAGATTTATTTTGGCTCATGGTTTCAGAGGGTTCAGCCCATGCTCACTTGTCTCCCTTGTCTCTGGGTCTGTGGTGAGGACCCAGAGGGGAGAGGGTGTGGCAGGGTAAATCTGCTGACATCATGACAGTGGGGAATGAGAGAGAAAGAGAGAAAGAAATGGGGGCAGGAACAAGGACAAGATCAGACAAGGGCACACACAAACCTTTAAGGAATCTTCAAACCATTACAGACTAGGTGGCTTACACAGCAGAAAATTACTATCTTGCAAATTCTGGAAGCAAGAAGCAAGGTATCGGCAAGGTTTGTGCCTCCTGAGGGATGGAAGGAAGGATCTGCTGTGGGCCTCTCTGCTTTGCTTTGGACATCTGTCTTGGTGTTCACATGGTGTTCTTCCTGTATCCTCACATCACCTTCCCCCTGTATGTATTGCTGTGTCCAAAGACATCAGTCAAACGGGGTTGGTGCCCACCTTCACTTTAACTTGATTATCTCTACAAAGAGCTATCTATCTCCAAATAACATATTCAGAAGTACTGGGGGTTAGAACTTCAACATCCAAATTAGGGACGGGTAGGGGTACACAATTCAATCCATGAAAGCAAGTGACAAGGAAAATGCATGAGGAGTCATACATTCTGCCAACTTGGTCAAAGTCTATCAGTGTTTGGCCTCAGACCTTTGGAAATCCCCTGCATCTAGTTTTCCCAATTCTTGTAATCTCATCTCACCAGAAAATTAGATATCTAAGTACATTCCATGCATTTTTAATCACAAGCTCATTCTACTCCACTTCAGGAAATGTGTTAACTAGGTCTTATTTAGAATAATTTAATTGATTGGGTTAAAGTGAGGACGTTGAAGTATGTTAGCATTTTTCCAAGACTTAAATAAATCTGACTCTGATGTTCAAGGCATTACACAATATTAGATTATTTAAAGGTCCATTTCCTTGGGATAAGTTACGTTGGTGATGAAAGTCATTAGGGACCTTTCCATTTCTTTCATTACAGTAAAATCCTACTTGGTATTCTTCTACAATTTTGAGGAAAATTTCTAGGTGAAGCACAGTTTGTGCTTGAGACAGATAAATGAGTGCAGGTTCAAGAGCTCCTATGAAATACTAAGCCACAGGATAGACCTGTGAGCAGAATGGTCTTTTATGTGGGAGAGGAAATTCTCACATACTAAAGAATAGATGAAATTTGCAAGTTGGAAGGGAAGACTCAGAAGCTCAGAGACAGTGGGACTGAACCTATGGTTTTCAGGTTAGGCAAACTTTGTCTATGGTTAGGCAAACATTTGGATTGGTTAGTTTCCATGCCAGCTGCCAAGTTTTTGGCCACCTATTGAAGGTCCCACCACCTCACCACTAGCAAGCACACCAAGGACCAAGCTTCCAACACATGAACCCTTAGGAAGCAAACTCAAACCATATCCAAGCCAGAGCACGTAGGTACAAAGTTTAGAGAATTATCTTGAGAAAAATTAACCAGGATTCTCAACCATCTCAGCCTCTGGATCCTTTTGCACTCTTAAAAATTTATTGAGGACCTTAAAGGTCATTTGTTTATATGATTTATATTTATTAATATTTCCATGTTAGAAATTAAAACAGAAAAGTTATCATAATATGTGTTTATTCACTTAAAATAACAACATAAATAACATCTTTCATATATATTAACTGCATTTAGCCCAAAAAAGATAATAAGATGGGCATCTTCCTGTGCCGGCATTAGAGAACAGTTAGAATTCTGTCCCTATGCCCTCTGATTTAATATGTTAGTTACATTTTTTTTGGCTGAATAATATAACAAAAATCTAACTGTACACAGAACTGTCATTGGAAATGGAAAGACCTTGAAGTCTCCTAGAAAGAACCCAGGGACCCTCCAGCTACACTTTGAGAACAGCTGGCCTAATGTCTTTATAATCTTCTTACATTCATATTAGACTTCCTTTTTTAAAAAAATATGCTGTTAAAAGGAGAATTAAACTTCACAATTTTAGTCTATAACATAACATTAAAAACTGATCTGTGTCATATACATACCTCCAAAGTCTTAACTCTACCTCTGCATTTGAGAAGTCAGCTTTGTCACAAAAGTCACTGCCTTTCAGTTTGTTTTCAGGGAGTTTAAAAAATAGATCTGAAACAGTCTTACCCGGTACTTACATTTAATCACCATAAATATTTCTTACTTTTTTTTCCTAACCCTGAACATACCTACACATACTTACATACTTATAAATAATATTAAAATATGTATCCATGAGCCACAGGCAATAGGAAATATCTTGTGAATTTTGTTTCATCCTTTTTTTTGCAGTATTTCGAGGAACTATGCCATATGAATCATGATGACGGCTAAAAATGCATAGAAAATGAAGAAAACTGCCTTGTTGCTTAACTGTTCCAAACCCATCCCTGACTGAAACCCAATGGCTCCCTAAACCAAGAGGGCTTCACCCTATCAAGGCCGTGGTTATGACCACAAGAGACAGACCCTCAAAAATCTTATATAGGCTATGGACAGAGTTTCACTCTAAAAGCAGGTGACAGATGGTGTTTTTAAGCCAGTGGTTTGCAGAATATAATGTGCCATGTCATACAGGTAGTTAATAGGGGATCGAGCTTGGTGAGACCTGTCCCCAGATGCCAGAAAGGCTGAAGAAGCCCATTAGGAAGTGAAGTCTCTAAGCTAATGGTTCTAGCTGAACCTAAACCATGGGTGCAGGAGGAGTACTCCCTCCTTTCCTTCATTCTGGGGGTGCTGACTCAGATCATATTCTCCTTTGAAAGTCTCCCTTCCACAAACCTCTTGCACCTTTTTCCTTCTCTGAAGGTCCCTCTCCCAGACCCATGGGTCCCCTAAACCACATCACCCCACTTCACCCACCCTTCTCCTCAGCCTCCCTGTCCACACTGTTGGACAGTATCCATAAAGACCACTGTCCTAGGTACATTCAGCCTTCAAGCTTTCAATATATAGCCTGGATCTAGCTTTCTCCTGTTCTCTGCTATCAACCCTGATTGAGAGTCAGGGCCATTTTCCTCTTGAAAAGCAGGCACAATTGGTGGTCCTTCACGGAGAGCCACACAGAGAAGTGAAAACCCTCAGGTGCTGTGAAGGGAAACCCTGACGACTGGGGAGATGTCACGAGGCCATGTCACTGCTCACTCTCACTCTTACCTCCCGACACTGCTTTCAACTATTTTTGTCAAAAAAGAAGGGTGACACCTGAGGAGCCTCAACTTTGGGTCTCTGGTCTGATGTGAATTCCCCTGCATCATTTGCTAGAAATAAAGTGAGCTGGGTTTTTTTTCTAAATTAATTTGAAGAAAAACCAACAGAGAACTTAATCTTCAAATGAGAATTTGTAGTAGATGGCCATTTAATATTTGGCATTGTTTCCCCTAAGTCTGCTGATAGAGGCCAGAGTAGAGGCCAGAGTAAAGGCCAGGAGGTCTCAGTGCCTCCTGCGTGTCCTCAATGTGCTTTTGCCCCAGTGGCAATTGGCTAGGAGCTTTTGCACTCGCTAGAGGATGTCTTTGCTCCTGCCTCATTGGCAATCACTGCATCCATGGCAGTGTTTGTCAGGTTCAACTTTTCCTATATTACACTCTCCTTTCCTCTGTGACTTGCTTTTTTCAGTA